TTTTTTAGAGCTGTTCAGTGTCTAGAATCTGGGCCCCGTACATAAGGGCGAGGCAATGTGCATAAAATGGTTTTCATCCTGTTGTTCTCTTTAGCATCTAAATCAGTATTCTATGGAGATGTGTTTATGATCACATTAATATTGATTACACTGTTGGAAAGCATTGTGCTTGTTTAGTAAAGTCTTGAGTCCTGTTTCACTGGTGTCCTTCGTGGGTCTTGTTTCACTGGTGTCCTTCTATACAGACATGTGTAAGCGTCTGACATGTTGTCACTTGATCATCCTTTTGAGTCTTTTACAGGGATCGAAGGAACATATGCCAGCATTAACTATGAAATATGTTGAGGAGGGACAGTATGCAGTTGATTTCCATGCTCAGCTGTCCACATTACAGGCATTTTCTATTTGTGTTGCTGTATTACATGATACTGAAGCCTCTGCTGCTTTTGCACCAGAAAGAACTTTGCAGTTGTCACAATGCAATTCACTAAAAGCACTGATTGAGGAGGAAGTGAAATTCTTAATTGATGCAGTCACCGAGGAGGAGAAGAAAGTCGCAAAGAAAGTGAAAGAAATCTCACCTTCATACTTGCTAAACCCTCCATTTTCTCCAATTGCAAGAGTTTAGACTCTTATCAGGCTTCTTCAGCTGAAGCTAAAATGTCTAATCGGACTCTCAAAGTGCACTTTAGCGACCACTGGAATTAAAACTATGAACCGAAGAAGGAAGCATTAGCACAGGAAAGTCTTATCTCATTTCCTCCTCTACGCCTAATGGCTAGCGAAGCTTGTTGAAGTTGAAGAGCCTCTGAAAAGAAACGAGGGTTACTTGGAGGTGCAAAATTCTTTGCTGGCCTATCTTGTTCTTTCGGTATGATTAGAATTAGAAGTACATATAGAGCAAAAACATGATACTGTCCATATTCTAGCTTTAGAGGGAAAGTAGTGCTCAGAAATAGAAGCCTTTTTCCTTGTATTTCTGTATTATAAATATGGTGGAAAGGGAGGGAAATAGGATCCTAGAAATTGTTACCTAGCTTTGATAACTTAAAATTTGTGAGCCACCTAAACATTTGTTCACCAAAAGTTTTGTAGCTCTAGAATAGTGAATAATGGCCAGCCCCGACTGATCTTTGTCTTTACTTTTCATCAGGTTGTCTTTATTTCTCTTACAATGATTGTACATCATTCTGGAACCCAAACGACCTTTTCAGATTTTGCTCAATTAGCATCATGAAGTACCATGGGACTATCTGCAGAAAAAACCCATCTGTCTTAATATGTCTCAACTTCATTCTCTAAGTTTTCTTCAATAATTCATCACCCACTTCCGTATGATTGAAATCTGAAGACATCATGAATAACTCTAATATTAGTGCAAGTTTAGAGAAACTACACCCCAAAAAACTACGACTCGAGACTCCTGAAGCTTCTATATCTATTGCCAATCTGTTCCCTTCATGTCTCTCAGGTCTTCCCATTCTTTACACCCTTCCTCTAGTGTCTCTAACATCTGAAATTATGTGACTGAGAACTTTAGACTTCAATGACTACCTTGTTTGAAAGTTTCAATTCCTAGAAATGTTTCAAACTCAAGGTATTCTTCTCCTCTTGTCCACCACTCAAAATATCATTATTTGATACTTCGCTTTCCATATGTTATAAGAGCTTGTTGCCCTTCATCAGATCGTCTTATTGTTTTAGTGACAAAATCACCACTGTATATATACATGACATGTAACCTGGCCCAACATGCTCGTTCAAATTATATCGTGTTTGACGTTTGTTTTGTTCGAGAAAATATGCAATCTAATGCTTTGGTAGAGTCCGATACATTTAGACTAGATCAATTAGTCGATACTTTTACACAATTATTAATCGTATCGGTTATTTGAGGGTCTAATCTATACATTCTACCCCATACATCTTGGAGAGAGTATGATAAATATTCATGACAGAATATTTAATCGATTTTGTAACTTAAACAATGTAGTAACAAGTTTATGTTAGGAGAAGCTACAATTTCTAATCAATCTCGTGTAATAGTATTATAAATAACGCACCTGCTATTCATTATTGATATTTTGAGATAATTTGATAAATTATACAGTATCCTTTAACAACAATAAGATAACATTATTCAAATATCATATATCTTGCAAATTCTTTTGAGAGTTAATGATCAAATGAAATTTTTGTGATAACCATAGAGATCATAACATCCTTCCTTTTCTTGACAAGAAATTTATAAAGGTCATTACTTTATCAGAGTTCACGGGTTTTGGGCATAATTTAGATTCATTAGTTTATCTATGTATTTTGAACAAATACGATAATTGATCCTAATAAATTATTAAATATCATCATCAATTTGTTTTTTTTTTTTAAAAAAAAAGATTAAATTGTGACCCAATTTAGATAAACAACTTGGAGAACTCTGATTGAATAGCTTGCTTGATTAAACAATCTTTTCAATTTTGGTTAAAATCCTTCAATTTTCCTTAAAAATTCAGAATATAAAGACTCATAATGTTTTAATCTAATAGATCCTATGGAAATTAAGTTCAAAATCCAGGAATGCCCTTATAATTTACCCTTTAAAATTAAGATAAACTCGTATTTCGTTTAATATAAATCTGAAAAACCTAGTTTCATGGTTAACAAGCATAAATGGTAAAAAGGAATAAATGATCGTGACAGATAGTTGTCCCAGTTATTTTTGACGTGTCATTTTTTCTGTCACCAAGATTTTGATGTCTTCCCCCCCGCCCCCCCAAGATTTTTGGTCCCACAGAGGTTCCAGCGTCCCATTATTTTGATGTAGATGTACGGTCATGAGGGACCTCTCCATCGTTGACTGGAATTGGAATCTAGATCGGGACTTGTCAGAAATAAAATGAGAGGTCTGAGACAAGCACAAGACAAAACAGTGGTTGACAACCCTTGGATTATTTTTTGAGTCTTTGCAGCTTATTGTCTTGATTCAGTCCTACAAAAATAAATATGTAATTGGAAAGCATCAAAGGCTTTTACACTTGAAAAATTATGTATAACGTACTAATAATAATACAACTACATGTTTTTCTAAGCTGAAAATAATGATACAAACAGTGATACATTTGCTACCGACATCCAGCTCCACACCCTTCTCCTGTTGATACATTCAAAACATACGTCTGCTAAATACGACAGCAGAACCCTGTTACGTCAAATCTTTGGGTGCGTGGAATAAAATCAAAATTTCCTAAAGAAAAGACCCTTTGATAGAGTCAAGTGAAGGATGACTTGGTTCTCCAATCTTTTATGTCTAATGCTTAGGTTTTTACCTCCGAGCCTACCATGGTCATGAACGCAAACTTGATGATGATGATGATGAAACTGGATCTGATCCAGAAGAAGATGATGACACAAATGCAGATTGCTCTAATCTTATACCATCCTTGCTCTTTTGCTTATGCCAGGTCCTTTGAGTGCTAGTATGTGGCACCTCCAAGGAAAATAAACTCTTAAAAAATTCATATGAAGCAAAGAAGAGAGCTCCTTGAGACATATACATAACCAGTCTCGGAATCAATCCCCTGATCCGCAATGAAATTAGGAATATCAAACCACAAGGAGCATAGGGAAAGCATGCTTTCAACACAGACGAGAATGTAACAACCAACAATATACCTGTATAGCCCTTTTAAACCTTCCTGCTTGGCTATTTCCTGAAGGGCCTGAAAGACATTGTTATATTGGCTCCTGGAGCCAGGAACCTGCATAGTAGGAAAAATACATTAAAACATACATAACTAAATATTATACAGGACTAGGGTTTCAAATGCCAGAGAGGTGCAAACAGGCAAGGAAGTAACATGTAAGCATATATTTCCACGCTACTGAGGTGAAAGCAACATAAAATGTCTCCAACATTAATATTTCAGCTGTTATTCAAGTGGAGATAATTAAATTCCTTAGCATGCAGGTCATTTGGTCACATTAGAAGAACAGCCTGTGGTTCTGATATCCAAATATGGTAAATTAAGTTAATATATTTGAGGTTATGATATTATTATAATTGAGTCAAACAGATATTTTATAGAGATCGAGTTGCTATGATATAATTACAACTGGGTAAATTATTTTAAAATAATTCGATCTCTGCATAATAAACAGATTCGTTGACTTATTTTGCTTCTTAATCAGCGTTAACTGATAACTAAGTGCATGTTACATGCTAATTACGTAATTGGAATAATAAGAACAGTAGCATAGTAGGTGATTCCACAAGAAAAAAAGCAATAAAGTTACAATGATTTCAGCTCAGATGACAAAGAAAAAGCAGGAGTTAGAAGTATAAGAAAAGCATAATATGCATGAGAACCTATTATCAAAGTAGGTAACTTAATTTATTTTTTACTTTCTATAACATTAAATGATAAAATGACTAAATTGTTATTTTCAAACATAATAAACTCAACTATAACTATACCAAACATCAAGGACCTCCAAATAATTTGCTTTTCCCAGACCTTGTACAGATGTGCTTTCATATTTTAACTTATTAAAGTTAGCAAAGGACAGTACTGGACATGGTAGGGACTCGGTAGGGGGGGTGGGGGTTTGGTGGAAGGGGAGGACTGGGTACATAAAGTACCTGTGTTTGGAATCTAGTTTTCACCACATCAAATGGCGTTGTAAAGATAGCAGCAGTAGATCCAGCTACTCCTCCACAAACAAGCTGCAACAGGAAGAAGATTATCTCAACACACCCTGCATAGATGCAATTCTGAGAGAGACCAAAATTGTGATGACAAGAAGAGAGTAACAAACTGTTTGTAATGTGTTGAGTTGAGCACCAGACTGTAGAGATGACAGCATCATTTGCTTCAAGCTTTCATATGCATAGAACTGCATGCAATGATAAAAGATTATTTAAAAAATCACATGCTTAGTAACTAAAAAAAACAAATAGGAAATTTACAAAGAAAAAAAAACTAGAAAGACCAATATAATGATCACAAAATGCAGGTTGGTTTACCTATTCAACCCCTTTTGCTGTGAAAGTCTTTACAACCACAATTAAATCTCTCATGACAACCCCCCTTCCCTCCTTATGTCACCATCTTATACGCACAACAGATATATAATTACCATTGGCATATCATCTCTCTCTTGGCTTATCACGAGAGAAATCCTCTGTCCTCGGAGTTCTTTGCCATCATCTTGGCTGGTCTATTTTCTTTCACAATGCCATTTCAATCACCAAGCAAATTTCTTGGTGATAGAAACGAAATCTTTTAATGTTGTCTTGGAGGATAAAGTAGAGGATAACCTTTCGAAAACAAAGAATGAGGATAAGAAAAGTTTCTCTTTTATCTTTTTAGCTTAGAATCAGATGGCTTTTTGAAGCTTCTTGCAAATTCTTTTGGATTAAAGAGCATACCTCTTGGAGAAAACTTTAAAGAGTGGACATGTGGCTTTTTCCATCAGGTTGACCAAAAAAAAAACTAAACTATGCACTTTTCGGAAAAGGTAAAAAAAAAAAGTTCCAAATCCTTTTATATATTACTGGCTGGCTGGTTTTTATGAGAAAAAATAAGTATCTTATTTCACTCATAAGGAAGGTTAGATACCTTTGATAGGCTTTTATCTTTGGTTGAAGTAGGATGATGTTTCAAACTCAGTGCAGTCTAGATCACAGGCCCTCCCCTTTCACTAGTTCTGTAATTTTCCTTAAGAACCTAGATATTACACCTAGATTAAGGAGTCCTAAGCATCAAGCTTAAAGATTTGAGACCATTACACAACTATAAAACTAAAAAATACTCGAACATATTTTATTTAACAACTGAAATCTGTCTTTGGGAAGTGAAATTATAAATATACTTATAATGGCTCCAAAGAAATCTTTTCATAATAGAATTAGACTAAGAAAGATTAATATTAATAGGATCAGGAAACAATATCACTAATACAAAGAGAAAAAACTAAATACCAAACAATTAAATTCTAAAAGTATTAATATTAGATAATAGACTCTTAAACAGTATACATCTAAACAAAGTCATTGTGCATTATTTTCTCATTGTTGGGGAAAAATCGATCACTTGTTTCAAGTGACGAATGATGTAAAACCTTGATTTTCAAGCTTCCCATGAAAATTTAGTGTACTTTGTGTTTGGCAATTCCCTTCAATGCCAAAACTCTCAATTGTTGCCTTGGGTTCCTACTTGCATTGTACTACTACATAACTCTTTTTAGGTAGTGAAAGTTCTTGAATAACCTCAAAATCTTTACTCTTAGGAAGAAATGCCGGTTTCACTTGTTCCTCAACTTCAGTTACTTCTTCTCTTTATCCCATTTCCTTAACTTTAGCCAACTTTTGGACGTCTATATTTACTTATCTCTTCTGTAGTCATTGGTTCCTATATACTTTATGGGAAGCATAAAATGATAAGCATTGGTAGTCTTGTCATTATGAAAATGAAGACCATAAAGTAAAGTCGACATAGACAAATATGTCTGAATCTTATAGGAAGAACAACAGAAAAGATTAAACAATTGTAGGTAGTTGGTGATTAAACAAGAGTTTGTTACCAAAATATCCATAGTATCTATCCAAACTAGTCTGTATGGTCACAAATGCAGTTACTTCAAAGATTGAGTTGTTCATCTATGAAAATTAAAACAACATTCTCACAATAAGCACATGAATGACAAGCTTTTTTACCTTTATTTCCATGACCGAGACATTATGGTTTGACAAAATTGGAGAACACTCTCAATCTTCCTTCACTTAAGTGTTCATGCTTAGCTACATCTAGAAAAGACTTGTCAATTTCAGTAACGGTGAACCATGACTCATTCTCTTCCTTGAGATTCCAATTATTTTAAACTATAATAGATGTCAAAGTCGATGGAATTGAAAAAAAGAATTAATGAACACGTCAGAATTAATTAGGAAGCAATAAGTGTATAGTGTTTTGTCGTGTGGGAAGCAGCTTGGACAGGATTTTAACTATTACAACTCGAGGAAGAATAGTTAATTTATGTCCTATATACCACTAAGAGTGTAAATCTCACAACCATCTTCTTCTACAGTTTTTAAAGGCTAGAAGGTTCTGGGATTTTGCCTTAGCTCTTCTCAACTTGTCTTGAGTAATCTTTGGATCTACCCCAAATGAGTTACGGGCTTCATCTGAAATTAGATTATCTAAATCGAGGAAAAAGCTCTTATCTCTTATTCCTGTGTGTATCTTTCAGGTTTAGGAGATAAAGAAACAAGAGAGTTTTCAAGAGCACTTTTCTCCTTTGATGGAATTAGAGATTATATTTAATAGTTTTATACCCAGATTATTTTTAATAGTTTTACACCCAGATTATTTTGTTTTCAGGGCATCTAACTGATGGAGAGAATTTGGGGAAGCTTATAGACCCTTTAATTACTGCTATTTTGTAATCCTCATATATGAGACAGTTTTTTGCTTTTGATACCCTTTTACATTGGTGGTATCTCCTTGGTACCTACTTATCTATCTGCCTTTTTATTTCAAAATAAAAAAAGATCACGTGGAAGCAGGGATGCAGATAGTTTTATTAACTCTCCATCCCTTTCTTCCTCCTTGCTGTGACCATCTTATAATCAGAATGCCTGTTTCATTCTTTCTATGACAATTTTATATGCACAAACCCAATAATTGTGACAGTGACATTCAGATTGTTTTTTTACTCCTCCCTTACCAGAAGAATCATATGGACAGTATCTAAACTAATTATGGTTCGTAGAAAGACTCAACCTTGATGACCGAGTGACAAAACCTAACCTCGATAATTAAGTGTGGGACAAGACCTTACCTTGATGATTGAGTGAGGGACATTTCTGCAGAGTACAGCTCCCCATCCTGCATATAAAGAAGGCAAACCACCCTTTCTAATAACCCCTACAAATGCATTCCTGCATAGGTGCAAGGCAAAGATGATATTAAACACACCCCTCGGAGGTGAGAATATCTGCCAAGGCAAACACGACAAGAAACTCTCAAAATGTAAAAAATTCTAACTTTCAAAATCTGGCATGCAATTTGAAGCAAAATGCAGGTGCTAAAATACACACCATCTTCGTCAACAAGTTGATGAAATTGTTGATAATACATACCAGCAATTATGATAGTGGGAACCAACTTGCATCTGTTGCTTTATTCGCTCACTTGGAGTAAAAATAAAAGAAGTAGCAACACTTGCACAACCACCTGCTATACAATGGGCAAGAGAGAAATATTCCTGAAGAAGAAAAGGGAAGATAAGACTTACAGAAGTCTAATAATGTTAGAGTTATTGTGAGGACACAACTAATTGTCAAAGCTTTAGTTAAAACATCTTCATGGCTCTTCTCTTCTCACTCATTACCACAGGGAAACAAATGAGATGTGGAGATCTTGAGAAGTGCACATGTCCAAAAGCACATGAACTAACAATTATAACAAAGAAGCTAAAAAGATGATAGAAGAAAGCAGAAATAACAACAGCAAAGCAAGATAGTTGGATGAGAAAACAAAACCAGAACTACCTTAGGGAAAAGAGGAAGCAAAGCACCTTTAACTGATTCATACGTGAAAGTATAAACAGCAGATATAGGAGCTGAAGATGCAATATTGCTAGCAATTCCACGATAAAGTCCAGTAAAACCTGAAATACACGTCTATGAATAGAGAAAAAACTAAGAAAGCAGGTTACCAATTATGACGGAATAAGGTCTTGAGGCCAAAAGAAGTTCTTCAGTTGTCATGATAATTTACCTCTTTCAGAAACAATGGACTTTCCAATATAACATATAGACTTCTGCTCTGTACTACAAGATTGAATAACTGTCTTAACTGTATCGACAGGATGAAGACAAACACTAACGAATGCACCAGCTAATGCCCCAGCAAAAGCATGCTGTTGCCTAGCAGGGGCATAATGAGACTTTTCAACTCCAGATGAGGGAATTACTGTTCTATTTTCTTCTTCTGTGACAAACTCATGAGGCTGTTTTCCATCACTTTCTAGCACTTCTCCACCATTAATCAGATGTTGCCATCCTTCACGTGCACTAGCACAAGAAGAGATATCACCAACATGACAATCTGCATAAAGACTAGAACTTGAGGTGTTTGCAACACTGTTATCAGCTTGTGCAGCCATAAGGTAATCTGAAAGTAGTGAGGTTACTCCAGTATTCATCCTTAAATTTGAATCATCACATAAAGGCAGATCTTTTGATCTGAGTGAATCAGAATTACACTCAGCACCTCCAACTACGGTGTTGCTTGCAGGATTAGTTGTTCCAGAAACACAGGCCCCAGTTGAGCTACCTGCTTGTCCTGGAATGCAGCATTCACCAATTTGCTTGGTTCCAATCTCAGTGCTATTAAGATGATATTTAAGCCCAGCAGGAACTAATTCTTTCATCCATTGATACGTATTCCCTAGCTCAGAAAATAATCCAACAGATCTAATTCCAAATTCATTTCCTTTCCAAGAATTATTAGACAAGTTTCTACCACCCTGCAAAAGCCTTGAGAAAAATGATTCCCTGCAATTTTCATTACAAGGTTCAAAAAGTGAAATCTTCTGGGTTACCTTCAAAAACTCAAACTTAGACTGCAATACAGGTGACCACTGAAAGCTTTCACTACCATCTAAAAGGGGTGCCCTACCCTTTTGTCCTGTGTCCAAGCCATCTAAGACATCTTCCTTCTGATAGCCACTCAGATTTAGATTCGACTTTGATTTAGGTTGAAAAAGAGAAAGACGATTTGCACAATCCCAAATCTGGTCGATTGCTGATATTATCTCGCTCATGCTCAATACTTCAGTGGACAGTTGTTCAGATCCTTTGTTTTTGTTCTGCTTCTTGTCACCAGAGAGGGAAGCATATTCTTTAGGAAGGAAATCAACAATCTTAAATGATGCACACTTAACTGAATAACCATTGTGTTCTATTGAAGATTTAGGAGGTCTTTTACAGGCAGCCATTTCTTAAATTTTTGAAGAATATCCTTGAAAATGTAGAGAGTAGAGCAATATCTTGATTAAATAGTAACTGCAAAGTTTAATTAATAAAATTGAATTATCATCTGGAAATTAGCTACATAATTTTTTAGATTATAAATGCAGAATAATGCAACTGCCAAGCAAAAAGTAAGAGGGTGTAAAGACCTAATAAAGTAGACAGTGAAGTTTATGATCTTTGACTGGTTGTTAAAAGAAAATTTGATTTAGATGGGATGTGAACTGCCTTCCTGAAGAGGATGAGGATTTGGGTATTCAGAACCTAGTTCATAAGAACATGTACTTGTTGGCAAAATGCTTATGAGGTTGGAATTTAACTGTTTGCGGCACATGATATGTACAAGTAATTCTGAGCAGTATTAGGACCTAGAGTCTCTATTTCTGACTCCTTTTTACCCCTGTATCAGGTTCAGTTAGGAGATGGCTCCAAAATCTTGTTCAAGGAGGATCTTTGGTTTGGTCGTCTTCTTTTGGCGACTCGCTTTCTGCACCTTTACAGCTTCTTTCACCATAACACTACTATCTCTTGTTTCACTGCTCAAGATGATCATATTTATTAGAATTTGTTCTTCCATAGAAATCTTAATGAGAGAGGTGCATGATATGGTTTCTTTACTTCAGCTTTATTGGGCCTGCATTCTTTCTCTCAGTCCTCACCATAAAGTTTGGTCTCTGGACTTGTTTGATATCCTTACCTACAAATCTTGTTTGCCTTTTTAATCCAGAATCCCTCTATTCAGCATATTGTTTTTGGTAATTCTTTTTGGAAGGTTTCTGCTCCTTCTAAGGTAACATTTGAACTGAAATTCTTAATAGGCTTAATATAAATGATGTTCTTCAAGTTCACAAGCTAAATCATGCTTTGTTTCCAAATGCCTACTATATGTTTCAATGATAATGAGATCCATAGCTATTGTTTTTTGCAATATGATGTGGCTTGGAAGCTTTGAACATAATTATTTGATACATTTGATGTTTGTTTGATTGCTCCTCCAGAGAATGAGACCTTTATTACCTCTTCCCTTCATGGGATTGGAAAGAGAATAGAGTATACATGGTTGTGGAGGGGCCCACTCCAGGATGTGTTGTGATCATTGTGGTTGGAGAAACGCTAGGATTTTTAAGGATCTATTTTCTTGTTATTTGCTTCTTTAGGACAAGATGACTCGGAAGTCTTAGGGTTAAGGTCCACAGAATTTTCAGATTTCTCCTTGTCTACTTTGTAAAGAAATTGGGCCAACTATTAGTCCATTCTTTATTGAGTTTATTTTGCTTTTCCAACCTTCTGTTCTCTTCTTTTTTTGGCTCTGTCTTGTTCTTTGGTTGACAGCTAGTCTTTCTCTAATGTACCCTTTTCCTCTCTCTTCCAATCAGATTTCTTTTTCCACAAAAAAAAAAGTGTACAAACAGCAAAATAGCAAGAAATGAAACAAAACTACAAGCTAGTCAAAGGGAGTTGTAACTTTATGTCATAAAATCAGTTATTCACAGAAAGAACTGGGAAAGATGAAGAGGAGTTCAAACACAATAAATGGATCTGATAACCAACAAATATTTAAGATCTTTTTCCAACCAGACTCAAATACTCATTGTTGAACCAATTTTTTTTTGCCATCAATCTAGGTAACAGAAAAACAAAGTTGTGAGGGAAATCCGGATAAAGCACATGAAAACATTTTCCATTTAAACTAATATTGAAATCCCTATCCACCATCTTTTTTATAAATAAAAAAAAAAAAAAAAAGATCTCTTGGAAATTCTTTCAACCTTGGACTAGGTAGGCAATGAAACTTTTCAAGAATAAAAAAGATAGGCAATGATTCATACATATTACAAACAATTAACAAACCCACAATGATAACAGGCTAAACAAAGTCTAGGTGCACCTAAATCCAGTAGCAAAAGACTTAAAAAAGAACTTGAAAGCAGGTACCTTTAGTTAATCTACGGGCTAATTGCTTCTCCTTTCTATTTTATCTGGACTTAACCAAAAGCATTCTCTAATTCTGTAGTACTTAACAAGCCATCAGCAACATGTCATTCTTTAGATGCAAATTCCTAAAAGAGGAGACCAGAGCCAACAATCAAATAGAAATCAAGCACCACAGCCATCCATACCTACTAGAGAAATGCACATAATACAGACTAATTGGTTCCTTCAACTAATGTAACAGCTGATTGCTTTCTGTTACTACTTCATGTCATTGAATCAAAAGCATTCTCTGAGCTTATATGCAAAGTCCTAATCCAATACACTAGAGTTAGCAACTAAATACTGACCGAGCACCAAAAACGTCCGTAAGTACTAGAAAAATGTACAAAACATAGCTTAATTCAATTAAGAAACGGCCGTATCATTATCAAGTCGACACAGACCTAAATTTCTCTTAGGATCAAAAATCAGTCTGTGTAAGAGTAAAACAAATACAATGTTTTTTCTTCAAGTTCCTCGGTAATTAAGCAGAAAATAAACAGTAAATGCGTAAATATACAAATTAATGTGACTACTAAGAGGACAAGTTTGAGCATTAGAACAGAAACCTCGATGAATTAGCTGACCCTGAAGCAGAAAGTAAAGTTAGTTGAATTCTGCGATTCATTTTCTGGAGAAAGTTGAACAAAGTTCTGGAAAGTTACTGGTTTTATTTATGGAAGCTTAAGGGGGTTTATAAAGATATGTGCAAGACCAGAAAGAGTGAGAATTTTAAAAAATCATGAGGGTTATTTATTTTATTTATTTATTTATATGTTTTGCGAAGGAGCCATGAAAGGAAATTGCGAGGAAAGTTCCAGTGCGGAAAGGTGTACGATATGGATGTAAAGTGATAAATGTTATTTGTCGATTCTGATCATGAGGAGGATCACGTGGGTTTTAATGGTTTGGATTGCTGTTGCAGGATTTTGTTGTGTTATGTTGCAGTAGAAGATGCTTCTGCGTTTTATTTCATTGTGAACCTTCCTAAAGCGTGCTTGAAGGTGAAGATACAAACTGGTTATGAAATTCTCCTTTTAGGAAATCTTTGGTACAATTGGAGAGTCCATTTGAATTTTGGTTTTACTTATAAGTTTTATATATATATATATATATATATATAATTTTTTTTATAAAGAATAAACTTGAATTTCTTTTTTTTTTTGTTGGTTTCCTACACTTTTAGACTAATTAAAAGTATTCACATATTTTTTTATAAGATATTTTTTTATTAATTTTTATACAACAATACTAAATTTACACTCCAACAATTTTAAACATATCATCTTATAAAATAATTCAATGCATTTAAAATTTTAATTTTAAAATATTATCGACAATAATAAAACTGAAGTGATCAAAATAAAAATAATATTTTTTTTTTTCATAATTAGATTAACACTTAATAACTAAAATGGTATTTAACTTAATTTATTTATTAATCATTAATATCTTTTAAATCATTTATCGACAGTTATAAATATTTGGTACATAATCAATAAACAAGGAAGAAACTTATAAATCAAACTTGCTTGTAAGTTTTTAGAAATAGTTAGCACACAACTTCTTTAAAAAAAAAAAATTTAATTTTTTTTTACAAAACTTTGTTGTTAACCAAGCAAATGACTGAATGACCTATTAATAAATAATAAAATTTCAACATATATTTTCTAAAAGTCACAATAATCTAATTTTTTTTTATTTATTCTTTTACTCGTCGGCTTTAGCCAAATTATTCTCTATTAATTAACAACCATAATTTTACATTTTCAAATAATATATATTTATTAAATTATTGTCAACATAATGATTAAGTTAATTAAATAATTAAATTTCATTGAAAAATAAAAATATTGGATAAATTATATTAATGATGCAACATTATATCAAGGTCAAACTCAACTCTCTAAAATCACTTTCAATATTATATCTGAAGCAAACTAAGTTTATTAGTAACATTCAGTAGAATATTCATGCATATGTCTATATGTATATGTGCATTTGATTACATTCATTTTAATTGCCAAACAATCAGATTACATTACAATCACTACGAACGGTGTTTCCCTTAAAAAAAATCATAACAAAATTTTGCTGACAATTCCAAGTGACTCATTAGGGTTGACATCTCCAAACACTCTGTAAAGATCTCGACTATAAGGTGGCAACTACAAACTTACAAAAACCAACGTCCATTGCATTGCAATCAGGCTTTGCCATATTCAGCCACCAGCAATTCACATTGGCCTTGCCAGCCACAGCTAGAACAGTAATTGCTAAAAATCCAATGTTAGGACGAATATCCTACCATGTGTTATGTCAATATGATTCTGCTTAAATGGATCCATGTAATACTTAGCACAAGTTATTGTTTCGTCTAAATATCAATCTAACAAGTTCCACAAAAAGAATCTGATGGCAAAACTAATAGGAGCATAATGAAGAATTTTGGCATGTTACATCAGTCCAAACACCAGACTACTAGATTCCAAGCAACCTCTTCGGAGGGGCATTGCCTATACACAGTAAATGTAAGCTGATCTAAAAATTGAATCAAATACGAAGTTGGCATAATGGTGAAACCCCGAACAAAATGAGCTGCAACTATAAAAAGTGGGCATATATTAGGACGTGAAACAGTTCACTACATCCATTCCGATACAAGAAGAATTCCCTATAATAAATGAAAGCAGTGAATATGCAGAAGCTCATTAAGTCAAAAATAGAAATAAACTGGACGTGAGAATCTGTCATGTTCACTGCCATCTTTTGGATGCCTTAGTTGCAGATGAAATGCTTGGAGTAGTAGCTTTCCTAGCACCTGAAATGCATTTGACAAGTGAGGATGACAGCAACCAGAAAGAGTTCGCTACATACAAAATTAAATTTGACAAAATATTATACTAGCAGATACTGTGGAAATAATAGAAAGACCATTTATGACTATACCAAGGCAGAAAACAACTAAAAGCACAGAAGTATTAAGCATAGAGCAGTTATTTACATACTTGCTAAGAGCTTTGAGGAGGAGCCCGTGGTTATTGACAATCGAGAAGGTTTCTTTTGGGATGACTTTTGTGTGGGCCTCGGAAGTTTGGATGGAACAGTCACTCTGCATTTACATCAAAGAACTGAATCAGAAATAAAAAAAAAACACTGAATTTATTCGAGGACAACAGTAACACTATGCCAACTAACAAAATACACAACCATTCACAACAGTGAAAAACTTTTACATTTGGTATCATACTGCCAATGAAACTTGGCGGGACAACGAACTCAACATGTCAGTTACTAAATCAATTTGTAAAACCGGTTAGTTTGTAGTGTTTATGGAAAAAGTAATGGCCTTCATTTCAGTATATTGGTTCAATATCAGAAATTCCTTTGAAAGTCCTATCAAGCATCAAAAGCAGCCAGACATGCATGTCCAGAAGACAACATTTATACAATTGACAATGCAAATGTCTTTTCCTCTTTCCCATGAAAAGTGTTTTGTAGAGCATGAGATTTTCCACCTCCATGATGAAAAGAAACGGTAATTCGGAGCATATTTTGGACATTCCTATTTTAAGAGGGAAGATAAAGAACTACCACAAACTTAGATAACTTGAGCCAGTGCCGGTGACTCTTTATGGTAATTACATAAAAAAAAAAAAAAATCCATAGTTCCAAACGAAATATAAGCAAACAGAATATGTAACTGGTATCTTAAACTTAGTAAAGAATCAAGCACGCATTTCAAAGATTCTCGTCGTTGTAGCATAGAGTTATAGAAAAGTTGTTAAAACACACTTCAGATAATGCTAGTCAGCCACAAAATATAAAAACCAAGTTTCGTTAGCCTTCAAAACCCAAAAGAACATGGAAAGCAAGAAAACTCACTCCTCAATGCTCTCCGCTTTGTCGGCAGGTTTTGCAGTTTCAGGGAAGAGAGTGAATTCGACTAGACTGCCTATTGAGCCATCAGTTTCCGTTCCCATTGAAAGATCACCATCAGAAATGTCGCTTAATCTCTCCTCAGAGTCTGCATCCCTCAGACCTAGGAGTTCAATATCTTCTGTTAAATTCTGAGCTGCACTACTTCCAGCAAGCTTAGACTGTGGAAGAAGTTCTTTATGATATCTGGATTCATCCAGTGACTGGTGGGAGCCACCTTCGGAGTGCTTATCACTGTTCTCTGATAATCTTTCAGCATCGGATGATGCTTTTGAAGTAGCCCTCGAGCTTTTCCCTCTTGGTAAGCTTCGACTCCGTGGTGAAGCCCCTACAGAATGTCTTCTAGGAGATGAAGATTCATACCTAAGTGAGCCCATACCATGCTTTGTGCTATTGAGGCTAGCCTTAAGCTGCTGTAACCTCTCAATCTCTTCATCTTTGTTTGCAATTGCATCCTTGAGGGATGCGACCTACAAAATAAATAGGAACAAGAAGATAACAAATCAGTTGGGATCTGAAGTATCCATGTCAACTGTCAAGCATGTAACTTAACTCTTCCAATTGTGCAATCCCTGACCTAAAAAGATATAGGTTTAGTGGACCTTGGTATGTGCGGGGACCAAGTACTCTCTCGTATTGGCTCTCAAAGACCCCAGTCCTGTCAAGAGAGTTGGGATTTATGGGTTGGAGAAACATCCTAACAATCTAGGATCCCCACAGTCCAGCAATCCCTGTGGATGGACAGCTTCTAGGACATACCAGAGAACACAAATTGGAATATAGACGGTGAAATAGATTAACTCAGGGCCTAAATTCTAGAGCTTCAGTACCCTTCTAGTGAGTATATAGCAAGCAAAAAGGGTAACACAGTGGAGTGAGACAGGGAGCAGCGAGACAACAAGTATGCACCTGTTCCATGAGTTCTCTAACATCCCGTCCCTCTTTGTTGCTCCTTGCAGCACCTAATTCAACACCTGAAACCCTTTCAGCAAACTTCAAGGTACTTACAGTTTCAGAATAGGAATCGACATCTGGGCTTAGCTGCACAAACATAAGGTCTTTGCTTGTCCACCTGCAGTTTGAGAAGGTTAGAGAAAATGAAGTAATTGAAAGGAATAAATTGATCTGGATAGAAAAGATATAAACTTAGATGAATTATATGAAAATAAAACAAAAAGTAGGTACCCAAAGAACTCTGAAGAACTTGAGTCAACTTGCTATTTCTGTACGGAACATGAGAACTCTTTTGTGCTAGAGCAAAAATTACATCTCCAAGAGCTGACAGTGACTTGTTTATATGTTGTGCCTCCTTAAGTCTGTCTCCGGTTGCTTCAGAGCGATCCACCCTTTCGCTGCCAGCAAGATCTACCAAATGTAGGCTACCGCGTAAAACAGCATCAGTCTCCATATCCGTGCCACGAACATGAACAGTGAGAACACTGCACAAGATAATTGAAAAAAAATTCATGCACAATTCCCCAATAAGATAAGAGCAAAAATTTAAAAAAAAAAAAAAAACCTGTGGGATCTGCTACTCCTTTCATTTAAGGCTGTGGCACCAACAGCCCTATTCATTAATCCAATACTCATCAATTCTAAAACATCTTCAGTTGACTTAACTGAATGCATGCTTGCATCAGGGACTGCTAGCCCGTTTGGTTGCACAGTATTCCAAATCCCAAGTGTGTGCAAATCAAGGATTCAGCAATTCAAACCAATGGAATTGACTTAATCCAGACCAATAAAGAAAAATAGGAAGAAGTATGCCACAGAAACATAACGTCAACCAAGGAACAGATCATAATCAGTGCCAACAAGTTAAATTTCCAAAAAGAATTGAGAGCTGAAAGCATAAAAACAAAGGATATCTTTTCTGAGGACTGCTGTTAGATAGTAGGTCGCGAACTTGTTCATTGTATATCTCAACCATTTGAACACCAATTTCATAAATAATGGAATTTTTCCTGCTCTGAGAGATTTGGAAAAGATCATTCAGTGCCCGATAATTAACCCCCCAGTCTTCTTTTGATGATGCAGTTGGCCCACTCTGGAAAAAGATTAAATAAGTGAATGAGATAGTCACTTAAAAGGTCACCATATTTGAAATGGGAAGACATAGACAAGTTACAAACCATTGTATAAGTTTTTCCTGACCCAGTTTGCCCATACGCAAATATACAAACATTGTAGCCATCAAGGACAGACCGAATTAATGGCTGAGTGTCTAAGAATACCTCCTCTACCAACATAAGAAATTTAGAAAATATCAGTCACAATTATTTGCGGAATAAAACCATGTTGTAACTCAAGATAAAACAAGTGACAGAACCATATAGCAGTAGCCATTAATCAATGCAAGAAAGTTACAACCTTGAGTTGCTGTTGGACCAAAGACCTTATTGAATTTGAACAACCTATGGGTATCTTTTCCTTGCCTTGAGGGATTCACAACAACCAATTCACCGTTCTCACCAATGTACTCTATAGTTGTTTGTTTCTTGTTTTGCCCCTGAAGAAATGGTCTAATCCGACAATAAACTCTAATATTTCCTATTCAGAAGAAAAGAAACAAGCATAAGTCATTGAACTGCATTCTCAAGAAGATAAAGTTGAAAAAAGCAATATACCTTTCAAATCCTGAATTTCATTGTACAATTTTCTATTTTCTACAAGAACTGAATGATAATTTTGCGCAGCATCAGTTAATCCTTTAAGCCTCACTCCTATTTAAAGAATGAAAAGATAAGAGATTAAGCAAATGAGAAAAATCCCAGAAGAAAATCACTAGTAAAAACTAAGCTATCGTTGGATAATACCTAAGGAATTAAATTCCTGCAAGTAGTTCCTTCTTGTCTTTAATACATCACGTTTAATGGACTCTGAAGTAATCCTTAGCTCCTGAACAGTGTCACGGATTCATGGATCCATATGAGGACTTTATATCAAAACAACAGTGACTTAGGTTTTGTTTGGAACAAATTCTGAATTTGTATGGAATTGATTGCAAATACACACTTACTCTAAATAGAAGAAATGCAAAAATCTATTGGGACAGGTTTAAAATTAGGCTCATACAGCATTACACATGAAATTCTAGATGTGCTCAATCTTTGTCATTGTAAGTAGAATTTCATCATCTTTAGTGGAAATAAGTGTAGACTTATTATAAATACATTATGGATTTGTTCCAAACATAGCCTAAAGATATGAAAGTCAAGACAAACCTGTAAAACCCCAAATTGACAATCCATAAAGCTCCTATACATGCGCTCTTTCTTTTTCCACCTCAGAGATTTAGTTTCAGTGAAGGATTCAAGTTCTTCCACCTTCTTCCTTGATTCAATCAAAAGACACTCAGCTTCCTTCAACTTCTTCTCCAGTTCAGCCCTAGTTTCTTTGGCTTCTACTTCTAGTTTTAGGCAATGCTGTTCATGCATCTTTTTACCTAGCTCCAACTCCTTCTTTAATCTAAGAATCTCCATGTCACTAGCATCTTTTTCTTTCTTCAGTCTAAGCACGTCCTGCTCTTCAAGTTTTTCTTTCTCCTCTAATTTGATTTTCTCAAGCTGCAGTGAAAGAGATCAAAAATTGTAAGAATTGAGTTGTACAAGCATATGCAAATGTGCTAGTAAGGTTATGACTATCCAATATAAGAGAAAACAGAATCTCTCGCATCCCAATTTTTTTCAATTGTCACTCAGCCCTTTCAGTGGAAGTCAAACTTTTGCTCCAAAGTAAATTGATAGCACTCTGTTCCGTGGTCGAAGAAAAGCTTAGTTATCTGCGTAATTTATGCACTTAGCCTACAACCTTGCAACTACTAATGTATCACCAGAAACCAGTGGGACCCCATTGTACTTCTTTTGTCTTGATAATTTAAATTTCACAAAGTAGAGATATGAAATTAATTCTTAGTTACTCATGCAGGAAATGATTGGAGAAAAGTGCAAAAATAAATGAAGGCCATCTATTTTGAGGTGTTGAGCAAAACTAGATACAAGTTAATCAACTCATAACAAGTTCCCATACACTTGTAAACAGACAAAAGTTTCCTGTCAAGACTGCACGCACTGTCAAGATGCAAGGAAAACTAACATGATGTATTTTTTTTTTCAAAAGACAAAAAACAAATGAATCAATGGCATGTAATGACTGCTAGATCAGAAAGTATTCTGACTCATTTCAAAGAACTAGTGCAGCCAAGTCAAGTTAAAAATTGAGAAAGAAAAGGTGGCAATTTCAATAACATAGAGTGGTGTAAATTTTGCCAACTGAAGAATGATTTAAAAAATAGATTAGCTGTGAAACAAATTTAAGATTTATGGAGGGCTAAAAACTAAGAAAGCATAGAAGCATAGGCTACCTTTATTTGCACCAGTTGGTTCATAACAACCTACAGAATGTAACAGAAGTTCCAAATCAATTTGCATAATAGCAATAAGGATAGTAAAAATACTAGAAGATTACTGCAAAGACCAAAATACTAAGCACCTCGTTTTCTTCAGTAGTCCCTGTGGCCAAGGTCTCCATTAATCTTATTATGGATTGGTATTTCTCTTCACGGGCCCTGAAGAGATTGTTTTGCTGCATCAGTGCAACATACACATTAATTAGTTCAAATTAGCATATAACCAAATATTGTTTGGAGAATAAGCAAAAGAAAGAATCCCTAAAGCTTTACAATCTTTAAGTTTTCTGCTTGGGTCGAAATCTTCCGTTCCACCAATTGCAAAACTCCTCTCAGTAGATATGCCACGTGCTGAACGATGAAGGGACAAAAGAAAAGGAAAAAGAAAAAGAAAGGTGCATGTTAGAGATACAAACTGAAAGGCACACACAAGAAAATGATTCAAAGAATAGTAAAATCATGCATGCTACAGTAGTACAGCATCTATCTGTCTTTTCACTGCCATACATGCGATACATCCCCATTTTTCCTTTCAATGCTTTCTTCCAGAATTTTGTTCAGAAGATTGAACAGTGATTGAGCTGAAGCTTTCTGCAAACGAAAATTTATGAGAATTGTGTCAGAGTTAAAGCTGATTGCAACTTAAAACAGCATTTGTAATAAAAAGAAAAGCTTAGGTGTTTACTTGCATACTGCATGATTTTATTAATTCCGAAATCTTGGCATCAGAAAGGTCAGCATAAGATCCTAGCTTTAATGCAGCAGATGGATCTAAGACAAACAAATGAACAAACGAAATAAATATCGTAAAAGTAATAAGAAATTTTTAACATCCATAGGAAGCGTCCATTTCACAGAAGAGAAGAAAACACATAACCGAAAGAGGCAAACTGAATAACCCATCTCTATGCACACTGCTGCTTACCTCTCACATCAAGATGTTGCATTGGAAAAACTTGAAGGCTAATGGAATCAGCCCTCACATTCAATGCCCATAAGTTTGCCCAACTGGGCCAGAAAATGAGGTATCCACCCCCTATCCTTATTCCATGTGATATTTGTTTCTAAAGGCTCAAAAAACTCTGTAGTTTTGGATAACAACTAAAAGATCTAATTGCCCAAGCCCCTGGGCAAAGTATCCAGAGCCTTTTGATGCACACATGATTAACACACAAAAATGAACAAATACAACACCATGGTTAGATCATAAATCACTTGGAATATCCTAGCCATAAATTAGAAGTGATCTAAACAACTATGTTTTCTTTCCTTTTCTTTCTCTTGTAATTCAGTCATCAATTTGGTACAGACTGAGGAAACTGTCTGCAACTTAGAAAAAGAAAAGAGTTCAGAATAGCAGTAGAAGGAAGAATTCAGAGGGCTTGGTTAAGAGTGTTCTGGAGAGCTTTGATTATTTCCTTGCTTCATTCTTCTGTAATCTCCTCCCATAAATGGGAAGGATCAGACAAACAAGGGAATCCCAGAATTTTCCATTCACAACCAACTAGGCTCCACCAATTTGGTTATGCCTACTCTGCATGAAAGCTCCAGCTTGCTTACATAAAATAACATATAAGAAATGGGGAATTACAGAAATTAACTGCTAATTAGGAGAAACTAGCCATAACACATTTCCATTATATGGACAAATCAACCAAATTAAATCATAAATTCTCAGTCGAAGTGCAGGTGAGCTGATCCCAAACAATTCCTCTTTTTCTATATATAGAAAAAGAAATATTATTAAGTGGAAAAAGAGAGAATCATATCTAAGGAGAATAAGACATCCTCCTAGAACCTTCAATTAGAGGATTCAAAAAAAGAAACACGAGGAAGCATACAGCATAACAAGAAATGGAATCATACACAGAGGATAAGGGAGACATTTTTGTACACAATGTTTTGAATTTTTATTTTTCTTCTCTTTTTATTTTCTTTTTTTTTTTTATGGAGGATAACTTATTCTCCATCTTGCTAATATTTCCTTTCCTTCTCTACTTTAAGAAAGCTTCTTCTTTATCAAAAAAAAAAAAGAAAAACAAAAGCAAGAAACGGAAACAAAAAGAAGGTAAATCCCTTGCCCTGAGGATTACGATATTATCACATCCAATTTCTGTGAAGCATAGATAGACCAGTATTAGAAAATTGCCCAAGAGCTTTTGCCCATAGTGTGACCAAAGGTATTATCTGTTCCCATAAATCCTGGCTGGCCAAAATGTAATCTAGGTCCAATAAATCATGATTCCAAACAATTCTAGGTCCATATACAACAAGAATCATGCATATACAAAGCAGAAGTTATCTGATCTCACTATCTCATATTGTCTGAGTCAGACTTTCTCTAAGTAAAACTTCGAGACAAAGAGAGCCAAAAACTTTCCCCAAAATATCCCCTCTTTGAATTTTTCTTCAAATGCACCTTGCTTAACTTCTGTCCAAAATATGTGATCAAGTTAATTATTTTTCTGAGAGGAGATTAAGTTAATTAAATATTCTACGTCAAAGAATAAATAGACTTATTTGAATAAGCTTTAGTGCACTACTATTAAGAACGTATCAAACTAAATAAGAGTAGTTATTTAGTTTAACTTGGCCAGTCTTGTCCCTCAGCTATAAACGCTATCTTTGGTTTAACTTAAACCTTAAGTTCATAGTCAACCTCTATGCTACTCATCGCCCTCACTATCTAACATAAAACAAAAGATACAGCAGAAATAGTAGAAAATAGGCGTCTCTGCCAATGCAGATCAAGAGGAACTGTATTAAACATAACTCCAATTCCTTGAAGCTTTACCTCAGTAACTGCTGAACTTGCAGGTTCTAATAGATGTTTAATTCAACATGTATATGCTACTCATCACACACCTAATGCAAATTTTTAGAAAGAACTTGAATTTTATGCATGTAAAACAAAAACAATATTTCAAATTATTCTATAAGGCAACAAAAACTTAGTGTAAGTTCTCTTCCCCAGAGTTGAAACACAAATATTTACAATAATGATAATACCTGATATAAAAGGTTCAATACAAGACAACATATTTCCCTGGGAGCAATCACTTTCGCCCGTGACATCTGCCTCCAAGGGATTCCACCTCTTTCTTTGATGAATTTGGCCCCTATCAACCCCACCATTTGAGCTAAAGCTAGCTTTAAGTGCCTTAAGGCACTGCAAAACTGGCACCATATTTCCCTGTATGATATACAGATTATAATCAACATCATCAGATGACATGGATACAGAAGAAACTCAATCAAAGCAAAGGAAACGACAACCCTAACTGTGGTTCAACTCAGGTCGCTTCACGATAAGCCAAAACTAGAGAAATGGTCCCTTCATTCAAGTGAAGAATCTAAAAACTATATCCAACAAGAGGAACTTTCAAGTACCTGCTCCAGGTCTGATAGCTCAAACCTTGGCAATGCCATTTCATCCATAGCAGTTAGAAATCTCTCGATATTTGCTATACCAGGCTCAAAATTGTCTCCCTAAAGAATGGAAGAAAAAAGGATTTTCAAATGATGAAGAAATATATTAAGACATAATATTAACATTTTGTTACATGTTAACAGAGGCAATGCATAAAGTAGTTAAAATATATCAGTGAAAAATGCAATCCAACCATTGGAATTGAAACAGGACTCAGCTTGTCCAAAATGCTGCACAAAACAGTGCCATCAATTAAGCATGCTCTCAGTTCTTCCTCTGAAGCTTCAGGTGGTAAATTCAAATGAGGAAGCATTTCATTTAACCACTCCACCAAATTACAGTTACCTAAAATCAAAGCAAGTTCAAAGATAAAATTACAGGAGAGAATTAAGAATCAAGACATAATTAT